TTTGTTGTTTGTTGTTTGTTGTTTGTTGTTTGTTGTTTGTTGTTTGTTGTTTGTTGTTTGTTGTTTGTTGTTTGTTGTTTGTTGCTTGTTGCTTGTTGTTTGTTTGTTTGTTTGTTTGTTTGTTTGTTTGGCGTCGTCCCCCCCGTGGCCCGCCTCGCGACCCACCCGCGACCCACCCCGCGACCCACCCCGCGACCCACCCACGACCCACCCGCGACCCACCCCGCGACCCACCCACGACCCACCCGCGACCCACTCCGCGACCCCAAGCCCGCGACCCACTTCACGCCCCGCTGCGTGACCCACCTGCGACCTACTCGCGACCCACCCCGCGACCCACCCGCGATCCACCCGCGATCCACCCCGCGCACAATGCAATTTCAAAAATCGGCGCCTGCGGCGGGCGGTTTTGCATTCGCTCGCGACCCCCGACCCGCGACCCACCCCGCTCACCGCGACCCACCCCGACCACCCCGCGCACGTTGCAACTTCAAAATCGGCGCCTGCGGCGGGCTGTTGACGCGTTTGCTCACGACCCCCGACCCGCGACCCACCCCGCGACCGACCCCGCGACCCACCGGGACCACCCCGCGCACATTGCAATTTCAAAATCGGCGCCTGCGGCGGGCTGTTTATGCGTTTGCTCACAACCCCTGACCGACCATCCGCGACCCACCCGTGATCATCCGCGACCACCCCGCGCACGTTGCAATTTCAAATTCGGCGCCTGCGGCGGGCTGTTTTGCGTTTGCTCACGACCCCCGACCCGCGACCGACCCCGCGACCCACCGCGACCACCCCCCGCACGTTGCAATTTCAAATCGGCGCGCAAGGCGGGCTGGTTTGTTTTCGCTAGCCCCCGACCCGCGACCGACCCCGCGACCATCCGCGACCATCTGGAGGAGAAGGAGGAGGAGGGCGGCTCAGGGAGGAGGGAGGGAAGGGGGAGGGGGACTAGGGCAAGGACGAGGAGGAAGAGGAGCAGAGGGACTAGGATGAGGAGGAGGAGGAGGAGGAGCGCCAGCGACAAAGAAAGTGAGGGCCACGAAATCAGCAACCTCGATGCCCGCAACGCCCGCGCCCGCCCCCTCACTCTTAGCCGTCATTGCGGGGTTCTGTTGTATGCCAGCATTCTGGGGCGCTGGCGTATAGCCTGCTGCGCGCAGGCCCATCACCCCTGGCAGAAAACGATGCGGCATACACTTTGCGACAGAACCTCGCTCGTGCGCGGGCGCCCGGCGATCCTCTGCCCTTGCACGCGCGGCGAACCTGGCGGGTGTCGCACACCTGGCTGGCGTCTGCGTTGGTTCCCGATGCGTGTCCATGGCGGCCCTTCTATGATGAGAGACGGCATGCAGCTTGTGGGTAGATCCATCACTGTTCCCTATTAATTCGCCGGCCCAACGGGCCAGAGGCGTGCTAAGATCTCCGGTAACTGGTTAACAATTCTCTAGTTCGCGCGCGCGGGGCGGCCCCTGGGGGTCCCCGGACGAAAAGTACCCCGGGCGATCCCCGACCGATCCCCGGGAGACTCCCCCAGAGCGCTCCAGGAGCGCTCCAGGAGCGCACCAACAGGGCTCCGAGACGTCCCCGAGAGCCCCAAGAAAGGCCAAGAGGCCCCCAAGAGGCCCCCAAGATGGTACACGAGGGGTCCGACATGCCACAAGATCGCTCCAAGACGCCCAAGATAGCCCCCAGACGCCCCAAGAGGCCTCCAAGAGCACTCCCAAGAGGGCCCCCGGAGGCAAAATTCATTGTTTTTCCTTAGGTTTTTGAGAGATTTTGGAGCTTCCACCTTTTCGGCTTCCCGACGCCCCAAGACGGCCCAAGAGGCCCCCAAGATCGCCCCAAGAGGGCCCAAGAGGCCCCCAAGAGGGCCCCAAGATGGCCCAAGAGGGCTCGAAGACGGCCCAAGAAGCCTCCAAGACGGTCCAAGAGGGCCCCAAGAACGCCCCCAAAGGGGCCCCAGAGAGGGAACACGAAACAACATTTCGAGCCCTCGGCCCTAAGAAGCCCCTACGAGGCCCCAAGAGGCCCCTAAGAGGCCCCAAGAGGCCCCCACGAGGCCCTCAGGAGGCCCCCAAGAGTCCCCCAAGCGGCCCCAGGAGGCCCCCCAAATGCCCCCCCGAGCGCCCCAGGAGTCCCCCAAGCGGCCCCAGGAACCCCCAAAGCGCCGCATTGACACCAGGCCCTCGGGCAAACGGCAGACATGAGACTGTATGGGCCGGCGGAATGAGCGAAGCGATTAAATAAACACCCCCTCCCCCAGGCGGCGGGCAGCCAACCAGGTCCAATAAGACCCCCACCCCACCATACCTGTCAAAAAACAGTGTGAACTTTGGGGCAGAATCTTGAGTCAAGATCGGGGTGGGGCACAATCACGTTGTATAGGTTTTTGACAGGGACGGCGGGGGTGCCAGCATACTGCCTGCTGCGCGCAGGGACAGAATCCCCGTCAAAAACAATACAACATGCACTTCTAGAGGCCTCCTAGGTGGGGTCCGAGTAGATGGGGTCGGAGGATCGCGCCGCATCGCCGATACATCGGCGATGCACCGTCGATGCATCGGCGATGCATCGGTGATGCAACGGCGACGCATCGTCAACGTCGGCGATGCATCGGCGACGTCGACGTGAAGGACATCGGGCTCCGCATCGAGCCGCATTGCCGATTCATCGGCGATGCGGCGCGATCCTGCGACCCCATCAACTCCGACCCCATCTAGGAGGCCTGGAACTTCGAGGTAAAATCAGCATCATGCGCAGGCACCCCGCGATCAGGGTGCAGTGGTTTTTGACTGAGACGGCTCTGGTGCTGGCATATTTCCTGCTATGTGCAGAGCAACCAGACGCTATGATGGCCACCCTGCCGCGATTGCGCACAGGTTTTCGACAAGAGTGGTTGGTGGGGGCCGACACGTTTCCCGATGTGTACTGCCACGTGCGCAAACGCACGTGGCACGCTCTGCGCGTGCCCCGAACGTTGCGCATGCGGCAGACATGGCGCACGTGGATCGCGTGGCGCATCTGGCGCACCACGCTTCCCGGCTCACTTGGGCCACAGGGGTGCCTGGCGCACCTGGCGCGCGTGGCGCGCCTGGCACGCATGGCGCACCTCGCCCCCGCGCTGCGCACATGGGGTCTGTTCTGGCTCCCACTAGCTGCCCATCCAAAGACTACCGCTGAACACGCTGTGGCTCGGGTGCTACTTCTGTGTTGGGCGGGCTGGTGGGAGCGAGCGAGACGGCTTGCGGGCGGGGAGGAGGAGGAGGAGGAGGAGGAGGAGAGGAGGAGGAGGAGGGAGGAGGAGGAGGAGGAGGAGGAGGAGGAGGAGGAGGAGGGGGAGGGGAGGGGGGGAGGGGGAGGGGGAGGGGGGTGTCTTGTCTGACCCCTCCCCTTACCCCCTCCGGCCGGGTCTGGACGGGAGGGGCCGCGAGCGGCCGGAGAGTCCAACAGACTCAGCGAGAAGGCGCAGCTCATCGATTTTCCAAAAAGGTTTTGGTCTCCTCTTGGCCTCCCGGGGGGGCGGGGGGGGCAGGCCGCGCTGGTAGGGAGCCCCTTCGTTCGATGATCGATAGCCTCCACCGCACGCCCTCTCCTTCCGCCATTTGCCGTTTCTTTCTGGACGCCCACGCCGAGCCCGATTGACGCCGAGCCAACGCGGCTCAGACGTGCAGGGAAGGACTGATGCGCCAGGCTCGCCGAGAAGAGCTGCGCAACATCTACCCAGGGGGCTGCAGGGAAGCAGCGGCGCGACGAGGTGCCGCGGTTTGGCCGCGGCGCCACCTCGGAGGCCCCGTTGGGGGCTTCGTGGGGCCGTCCCGGAGCTCTCGGAGGCGCTCGCGAGGCCATCTCAGGCCAGGCGGGCACGGAGCACGGGCGTCGGATACGCAGCACATTGACATGTTAGATGAAAACCGAAGGAAGGAGGGAAGGAACGAGGGAAGGAGAGGATGTTTTGGGAAAACAAGAATCCTTCTCCACAATTGCTCATCGGCGCCGCGTGCCGTCTAGTGATGCGGGAGATTTCCCGAACGTTGCCGAGGCTCGCCTCTTCCTCTGAGTAGGTTTTTTTGGGCCAAGCTCCCGCCGCAGCTCTTTGCCGTTGCTCCTCCAATGTTTCCTCTTTTTCCTCCTCTTTCTCATTTTCCTCCTCCTCCTCCGCTCAGCTCCCCCCCTCCCCCTCCCCCTCTCCCTGCTCCTCCTCGTCCTCGTCCTCTTTCTCCTCCTCCTCCTCCTCCTCCTCCGCCTCCTCCTTCTCTCGCGCTTTTCACCGCGCGCTGTAGCGTTGACTCGCGATCGGCCTGCTCAAATCGAAGCGTCCTCGTCCTTGTCCTCGTCGTCGTCGTCCGCCTCCTGGTCCTAATCCTCGTCCTCGTCCTCCTCTGACGGCGGCGGCGGCGGCGAAGACGACGACGAGGACGTTTCGTTTCGTTTCGTTTCGTTTCGTTTCGTTTCGTTTCGTAAGCGTCATGCAAAGGCGGCTCCTGGCCCCGACGCTGCAAAGCTGACCTGCCAGCGAAGGGCAGTCCGGGTTATCTCACACAGTGAAAAGCGAAACATACATAGAAAGACAGAGCATACAACATGAGGCGTGTGGAGAAAGAGAGCGACGAGTGCAGAGAAAACGTGCAACTGCATGCAAGTCCTGGCTCGGGTGATCCTCCAGCGGCGCCAGGCCCCCAATGGAGGCGGCAAGTGAGGGACATAGCCCACGCACAAGACAGAAAGTGTTAAGGAAGAAGTAAAGACGGTGAGTTCAAATGAGTATAAGGGCAGAGCTACCTTCCCGACGCCGAGAGAGTCCTGGCGCCTTGCACATCGCCAGCTAGGATGGTGTCCATCAGCCTCTGGGTTCCTCGCACAGCCTCCTTTCACTGCTCCAGGACCCTGTGCGCCTCCTGATACCTTTTGTGCACCCGACTCCTGAAGATCTGCTGTTCGTGCTCGGTAGATGAGACCTACGCGAGCTTCTTGGCGCGCCGACACTGGTCCTGGGCCTCCGGAAACTCGGCCCGCAGGGTGTCGCAGTTCCCCTGCGCCTCCTGCAGCGCGTTGTTCGCCTGGTCGACACAGAATTGCAGAAGTGGGCGCACCCTAGGCTCCAGCTCGGGGTAACTCAAGATAGCCTCGGCCGCGGCCCCCCAGTTGCGGGCATAGAACATCTGCGTGATATCCTCCCACTCCAGCCGATGACGCCGTGGGCCCTCACGACCATCTGGGAGCTCACGACCATCTGGAAGCCCGCCAGGACACCCTCCTGGAAGCTCACGACCATCTGGAAGCTCACGATCATCAGGGAGCGCACGACCATCAGGAAGCCCGCCAGGAGAACCTTTTGGAAGCTCACGACCATCTGGAAGCCCACCAGGGAGCCCTTCTGGAGGCTCACAACCATCTGGGAGCCCACGATCACCTGGAAGCTCAAGACCACCAGGAAGCCCGCCAGGGAGCCCTTCTGGAAGCTCACGATCACCAAGGAGCCCGTCAGGACACCCTCGTGGAAGCTCACGACCATCTGGAAGCTCACGATCAGCTGGGAGCGCACGACCATCAGGAAGCCCGCCAGGAGACCCTTCTGGAAGCTCACGACCATTTCAAAACCCGCCAGGGGGCCTTTCTGGAGGCTCACAATCATCTGGAAGCTCACGATCATCTGGAAGCTCACGACCACCAGGGAGCCCGCCAGGGAGCCCTTCTGGAAGCTCACGACCATCAAGGGGCCCGCCAGGATACCCTTCTGGGAGCTCACGACCATCAGGAAGCCCACCAAGGAGCCCTTCTGGAGGCTCACAACCAGCTGGGAGCCCACGATCATCTGGAAGCTCACGACCATCAGGAAGCCCGCCAGGGACCCCTTCTGGAAGCTCACGATCATCAAGGGGCCCTTCAGGGGATCCTTCTGGAGTCTCACGACCATCCGGAGGCTCACGATCAGCAGGTGCATCGGGGCGACCTGGTTCAGCAGATCCATCTGCGTGAGCTCGTCCCGCGGCGAGGGCGTTTTCCATGGCCGTCCGTTCGACATGTGTCTTCACCCCGAACTCACGATGACCAGCGGCCTCGCCAGCCGCCCGTCCACTGCGGAGATGAGAAAGAAGGGCCCCCGTTATGGCCTCGTCCCGATCAGCACGCGCGCCCATATGCGCGGGAACAAAAGCCTGAACATTGACATCGGGAACCCATGCCTCCAGAGACCTTTTCAGACACGCATCAATAGAAATACAAGTCTTGGGCGATGGCTCCGTGGGGTCGAATCGCTCGCTCAGCCGTCGGACCTCCTTCTGCAAACCACGGACCGCCATCGCGAGCCAGTTGACGGATTCGCGCTCCATCAGGAAAAGTAGATGTTAGGCTCTTGCAAGCGAATTGTGCGCTGTAGCCGTTCAAAAAGACAAGCCTCGAGCCAGGCGGGCAGCCTGACCAGGGCGTAAGGAATCGAGAAATCCCTGGGTGCCGTCTTGAGCCAAAATGACGACGACGACGACGGCGACGATGACGACGACGACGACGACGACGACGACGACGACGACGACGACGACGACGTCGCTGTCGACGACGACGACGACGACGACGACGACGACGACGACGACACCCGACGGCACCCGACGACACCCGACGGCCGCAGCAGCGCTGGCCGAAAAGCGGCGCCCCGCCGCCTGGGAGGCCGCTGCCCGGCGGGGGGAGCAGCCCGGCCTGCGCCAGCACGCCGCCTGCCCAGGCCTCTGGGCAGGAGGGGTGGGGAGGGGGGCGGGAGGACCTGAAGTAGGCACAGGCGGCTGGAGGACGGGGGGAGGAGGGGGGCGGAGGAGGGGGAGGGTGGGAGGAGGTGGGAGGAGGTGGGAGGACGTGGGAGGAGGAGGAGGAGGAGGCGGAGGAGGAGGAGGAGGAGGAGGGGAGGAGGAGAGAGGAGGAGGAGAGGAAGGGAGAGGAGGAGGAGGAGGAAGGAGGAGGAGGAGGAGGGAGGAGGAGAGGAGGAGGAGGATGAGGGGGAGAGGAGGAGGGGGGGGGGGCGGGGGGGGAGGATGGGGGGAGGAGGGGGGCGGGGGGGGGGGGGGAGGCGGGAGGAGGGGAGGAGGAGGGGAGGGGCGAGGAGGGCGGGAGGGAAAAGAGGGAGGACGCGGCATGGCGGGGGGCGGAACGAGGGGGGAGGAGACGAGGGGGAGGACCTACTGTAGGCAAGTAGGATAAGAAATCTTGCTATCAAGAACCTGGTGCCACAAGTTTGGACGATCTCTGAAGTTCCGAATTAAGGTGCACCAGAACTTCTGTGGGTCTCTGGGGCCAGCTGGGGGATAATACCTCCGTGTGGCACCTGCTGCCAGGCGGGGTTCTTATGTGATGTGCCTATTGTAGGTCGCCTGCAGTCAGAAACTCTAGTAAGGACGCGCGGTAAGGACGCAAGACCCTTGGAAGCCGAAGTTGGGATTTTTGGGGCGGCGGACGACGAGGCAAGGACGAGCCGCAAGAGCAAGGAAGAGCAAGGACGCAAGGGTACCCTGAGCAAAGTCGCGCGTCCTTATTAGGGTTTTTGACTGTAACTTCGTTCATCGCGCCCCGTGATCACCTTCGCGCCCTCGCGCCGCGCCCAAGACACAGTCAGCTGACCGACACAGACCGCAGCGCGCGGGGTGAGACCATCTTCGCGCCCCCGCGGGTGACCCAGAGGACGGACGAGGTGATGCGGAAGCGAGTGAGAGGGGCAGGAGGGAAACAGTGGGAAGGCGGATCGGGTGAGAGGGAGGAGGAGGAGGAGGTTGAGGAGGAGGAGGAGGAGGAGGAGGAGGAGGAGGAGCAGGAGACGAGGAAGGATGAGAAGGGGGTGATGGGGGCAGGGATGGGGGCAGGAGGCGGGAGGGAAGAGGGGGAGAGGTGAGGGTGGGTGGAGGGAGGCGGGACGAGAAAGGCAAGAAAAGGTATCTGCCAGGCGAGATTCCCTCCGCAATCCACCCACCTCCCTCAAGATGTCCAAGCAGTCGGCGCAAGCCCTCAGAGCCGTCGCCGTGCCGTGTGCATCTCGGCCGCCGGCGGGCGAACAACAAGATGCGCCCGCATCTGCGGCGTTGTTTGTTTGCTTGTTGGTTTGTGTGCTTGCGTGTTTGTTTGTTTGTATGCTCGTATCACCAGATTCTATAGTGTCAGCCCAAGGGCCACCTAGAAAGAACAGGGGGGGGTGGAGAAGTACAACGAGGCCCGCGACACGGACGAAGCGGAGTAGAGCATGAGAAGGAGAAGGCGGAGGAGGAGGAGGAGGAGGAGGAGGAGGAGGAGGAGGAGGAGGAGGAGAGGGGAGGAGAATACTGAGGATGAGGATGAAAACAATGACGATGATGGTGATGCTGCTGCTGATGATGATAATGCTGCTGGCGGTGATGATGCTGATACTGCTGATGATGATGATGATGTTGATGCTGATGCTGATGCTGCTGATGGTGATGATGATGAGGACGAGGAGGATGAGGATGAGAGGGATGATGGTGATGATGAGGATGATGATGCTGGTGGTGATGGTGATGAGGATGAGGAGGGAGCGGAGCAGGTGCAGGCGGAGGAGGAGGAGAAGGATGAGGAGGCGGAGCAGGTGCAGGAGGAGGAGGCGGAGGAGGAGGCGGAGGAGGGATGGAGAAACATGAAGAGGGATGAAAGACGACGAGGAGGGATGGAGGGATGGAGGGACGGAGGGATGGAGAAGGAGGAGGAGCAGCAGGAGGAGCAGGAGGAGAAGCAGGAGGAGGAGGAGGAGGATGAGGTGGAGGAGAAGGACCAATGCAAACCTAATCTGCATCAACGATGTTAGAATAAACCCTCCCTCCAAGCTCCCGTTTCATAAGCCTTCTCCACTCGAGGAAGTACGCCGTTAGGAGGCAATCGCCGAAACATCCTGAAGCGTGCCAAAGCACCGCTCTTGGAACTTCAACGCCACGAATGTACTTGACTGTTGCGTCTTGACGATCCCGAATTGTGCCCGAGTGGAATTCTTGGGACCGACCTCAACACCGCGATTAAAAATAACTGCTGCACCCTGACAATCATGAGTCGTTCCCAAACACCATTTCTTGTACGTTTTGGAATTCGTAACTCGTGCAACTTGTTAAAACGACTCTGCGCGGCGCTAGGGCGAGAACCACATTTTGAAAACCACCCGCCCTTCATCTGTGAAACCCTCGCACTTTTTAAGACGAGTGTGCGCGGCACTACTGCGAGAACCACATTTTGAAAACCAGCCGCCCTCAATCCGTAAAACACTTGCACACTTTTAAACCAAAATGTGTGTGGCGCTAAAGCGAGAGCCACATGTTGAACACGGCCCGCCCTCAATCCGTGAAGCTCTTGCAAGTAAGCAAACGGATGTGCGCGGCGCTCATGCGAGAGCCTCATTTTGAAAACGGCCCGCCCTGCATCCTTAGACCGGTTGCCAATTTGGGAGCTTCAAGATCAGACATGGTGAGAAGTCTGAGGCGAAACGCCCGGTTCGCCCTTCCGACTGGCCACGGGGCGCGACAGGGAGGAGTTATTTGCAAGGAAAAAGAATAGAGGGGGGATGGATGAGGAGGAGAAGCAGGAGGAGGAGGAGGAGGAGGAAGAAGATAAGAAGGAGGTGGAGGAGGAGCAGGAGCAGGAGCAGGAGCAGGAGGAGGAGGAGGAGAGGCAGCAGGGTCATTGAGGAGGACCCGACCCTCCGACGGCTCGATCTTTCCAAGTGTTCGGGCCGTGGTTCTCTCGACTCCTCCCCTGGGCTCCTCTTTCCGTCCCCCGCTGCTTCCTGCCGGCCCCCGGGTCCGAAGACGGCCGAGCAAGTGCAGAAAAAAAGCCTCGGCCTCGCGCTCCTTCGCGCCCAATTTGCAATTTGCCCCTGGCGAGTCCCGCCCGTTGCCCGACCGGCGCCTGCACCTGCTTCGGCTCGCTTGCGCCGCAAGCCTGAGACACGTCTTGGGGTATCCGGAGGTCTGTGGGGGAGAACGGATCTTGCGCGGACATGTCAAACCTCGCACGCGTGCTTCTGGGATTTGGGATCTTGCTCTTGCATGCTCGTGCCAAGCATCGGTCCGCACAACGTGGCCGCATCTGTTTCCTGTGAGCGAAGCGCGCCATCTTTGAACAAGCCCCGAACATCTTGAGCGCAAGAACCCCTTTGAAAGCATCCTGGGGGTCCCGAAGCCGTGTCGAGAGAGACCGTGCGTTGACCTCGAAAACCCGAAAGACCTCACCGCACGGTCCGTCACCGCACGGTTTGGGACCTTGGAGGCACCACTCGCCCGAGACATCCTCGGAGAACGACCCAAGTCCCAAACGTGTGCGGTCAGCCCGAATGACCACTGACCCACCACGCGGTGTGGTCACCGCACGCATTGGGGGGCCCCCGCTAGACGAGCTGGCAATGCTTCGGGTTGCGCACAGACAGCCCCCCAGGCAGTTTCGTTTTCATCAACGTGCCCGTCAGTAGTCCCAGCTGGCCTCAACAGGCCCCCCGAGACGTATTGGGCGGTCTCAACACCTCAACCCTGGGGCGCGGAACGCCCCAGGGACGCCAGGGGGTTCAGGCCAGCTGGGACCACTCGGGCGGCCTGTCGAGGCCAGCGCTGGGACTTCTCGGAGGGCCTGTTGAGGCCAGCCAGGACCACCCTGGGGGGCCGTCCGTGCGCAGCTCGAAGCCCCACCAAAACGAGCCCCGCAGCCTTTGAACGCAATGACTCTCGTGAAGCACCGCAAGGAAGAGAACCCCCTGGGTGGGCCTCGTGCCGGAGGTCCACCAGCGCCTGCAAGAGGCCGATTACCAGCGACACCGTGAAGTCCTCTCGGACAGGCCGGTGCGGTCCGGAGAAAGGGATGGGGAGGGAGGGAGGAGAGAAGGAAGGACAGAAGGGAGGAGGACGGGGACAAGGAGGAGGAGGAGGAGGAGGAGGGGGAGGAGGAGGAGGAGGAGAAGGACGAGGAGGATGATAATGATGATGGTGATGATGATGCTGCTGCTGCTAATGATGATTAGGATGATGATGACGATGACGATGATGACGAGGAGGAGGATGCTGATGATGATGATGATGATGATGATGGTGATGATGATGCTCCTGCTGATGATGATGATGATGATGATGATGATGATGATGATGATGATGATGATGATGATGATGATGATGATGGTGAGGATGAGGATGAGGATGAGCATGAGGAGGAGGAGGAGGAGGAGCAGGAAAAAGGATATCCACCGTACTCAGACGAGTTCTGGCTGGGTCTGGGCCCGCAGTGCGTGGCTGGCAGTGGCGAGGCACGCGATGCCAGGAGGAGGAGGAGGAGGAGGAGGAGGAGGAGGAGGAAGAGGAGGAGGAGGAGGAGGAGGAGGAGGAGGAGGAGGAGGAGGGCAGGAGGAGGAGGAGGAGGAGCAGCAGCAGCAGGAGGAGGAGGAGGAAAAGATGGGTGGATGGGAGGATGGAGGATCGCGATCCGCCGAGCGCAGCGCCTGCCAAGACGCACGCTGCACGGCGCAGACGGTGGCCGCTCCGACGTCCCAGCTCTGGGCCGCCTCGGGCCCGAGCGGGCGGCCCCGGCGCAGGCCCGAGGCGCTGCGCCCGAGGCAGCTCCACCAGGTCGCCCCTCGCTGGGGCAGCGAGACCCTCCGACGGGGTGGCGCTGCGGAGAGAGATGTCGGCTGTGCGCAGGCGTGGCAGGCGGGGGGGGGGGCGGCGGCGAAGGGTGCGGTCCCCGGGTTGGGCCCTCCGGAGCGAGAGCAAGAGCCCTTCAGCGCAGGTCCTTCGAGGAAAACTGTGAGGAAGGCTCGACGGAGAACCAAATCATGATTTCCACTGGCCCTCCATCCGTGTAGATGTCAAGCTTGCGGGCCACAGTGTGCGAGGAAGTCCCAAGCGAGCACCAGATTTGGGAAAGGCCCCGCCCTCCAGCAGTGTTGCTTGTGCAAGTGAGGAGGCATGAAGCGAAATACCCAGGCCGCCTTACCACGTCTCTGGTGGTGCGACAGTGAGGTGTGCTTGCAAGGAGCATGGGTGAAGGATGTGGAGGAAAAGGCGAAAAGACGAAGATACCTGAACCCCTTACAAATTATTGGCGCACCATAGAAACAAACAAAAACCTTCCTCCCACTCCTAATCTCTTCCCCCTCCTCCTACTCCGCCTCCTCGCAGGTCGTGGCGATGATCCAATCAGAGAAGCCAGCAACACGTCCTCCTGCCCTTACCCGCCTCCTCACCCGTCCCTCCCTTGCCTCCTCATTGCCCTTCCCCTCCCCCATTTACTTCCTTATCAACTCTGCCCTGACGCACCACCAGAAGTGCTGTTAGGGCGGTCCGGGCGTTTCGCCTGATCCTTGCCCACCATTTGCGACCTTGAAGACTCGGAACTTTCACCATTCACACGGATGGAGGGCGGACGCGCTGAAGCGCGGTGGGCCAGAACCGGCACCGCGACGCGCTAAGCCAAATTTCCCGTCCGTACAGTCAATCCGTATAGTAAGGATGCGCGGTAAGGATGCAAGGGCCTTGGACGCCCAATTCGAAGCTCTTCGAGCGGGGCGCGGCCAGCGAAAGTGGCCAAGGATGAGCCGAAGGGGCAAGGATACAAGGGTATCCTTGGGAAAATTGCGCATCCTTGCTATGCAGATTGACTGTCGTGCCTTCGGTGCTCGAAGCTTTGCCACGGAGGGCACTGCGCCGACGCGGTGGTGAGGCATGCCTCAGGCAACCTGATGCCCGTTGCTCGATATCTAGACGAGCGCGTTCCACTGCTCGCAAAGTGACTACTCGCAAATGGCCTGGATCCCCCGCGGAGGATCTACGATACATTACGTCAAAACAGACGTGTGCTTTTCGGACGTTTGCGAGTTGGCACTTTGCGAGTAACGGAACGCGCTCGGTGAATATCGGTCCCGGGGACCCCTCCCGACGAACCCCTCCTGGGATCCGCCCTGGCCAGCTCTTCATCCAGGGCCGCTCTCTGACGGCCGCTGGGCTCGAGAACGGCACTCAGAGGGCAGACATGACGAACACACAAATTGCAATTGGATCCTCGATGTTTCACTTTCTCCTCCTCCTCCTCCTCCTCTTCCTCCTCCTCCCCCTCCTCCTCCTCCTCCTCCTCCTCCTCCTCCTCCTGCTTCTCCTTCTCCTTCCCCTCCTCCTTCCCCTCCTCCGCCCCCTCCTCCTTCTCCTCCTCCTCCTCCTCCTCCTCCTCCTCCTGGGGCACCCAGAGGGCCAACAATACGAAAAAGCCTCGGGAAGGGCGCTGTCCTGCGGCTGCCGGAGCAAGGCCAGCAGCCTGTCCCGCGGGAGGGGGCCTGGCGGCGGGGGGGGCAACGACGACGCCGACGCCGACGCCGACGCCGACGCCGCCGACGACGACGAGGACGAGAACGAGGACGACGACGGCGACGACGACGAGGACGAGGACGACGACGTCGACGAGGACGAGGACCAGGACGAGGACGAGGACGAGGACGACGACGACTGCGGCGGCGGCGGTGGCGACGACGAAGATGTCGACGAGGACGAGGACGAGGACGAGGACGACGAGGACGACGGCGGCGACGACGACGACGGCGGCGGAGGCGGCGGCGGCGTCGACGACGTTGTTCACCGAGCGTGAGGCAGGGGTCGCGTGGAGGTGTAAGAGTGGGCTGCCCTTCGCGGGATTTGCATCGCCTGAGGGGGGTGGGTTCGGTGGGCGTAGGGGTTCGGCTAGGTGTCCCGCGGGAGGGGGCCTGGCGGCGAGGGGGAGGGAATGATGGGGGGGGCCACTCGCTAGCCCAGATCTCCGACGATCTGCTTCCTCGGCCCGGGCGCTTCTTCCAGGAGGAGGAGGAAGAGGAGGAGGAGGAGGAGGAGGAGGAGGAGGAGGAGGAGGGGGAGGAAGAGGCCGCCCTCGAGCCCCTGGGGCATCCGAAGGGAATCGGGGGCGACAAGCTGGCCCTGGGGAAGAGGCTTCGGCCGCAAGAGGGAACCACATACCGTCGGGTGTCACGGAACATGGCGGATCCGTGGATCCCGCGCGTGTGCGCCAGATCCTCGGATCGGGGCCGATGCCGCCTGACCTGGCGACGGGGCGCGCCAGTTTTGGTACCGCAGCCGGGTCTGCCTCCAATCCACGCGCCTCGATCCAGGCCTGCGGTTCCTCGAGATGGGGGGGGTGGGGCTGTCTGAGGGGGGACACGTGGATTCGGAATCGGCGACGTACAGTGCGGGCGCGGCCGCAAGAAACCCTCGCAAGAAACCCAACCCTGAGAACCCGCGCGCGAGGTGAAACCTGGAGCACCCTTAACGCAGCAGCTCCTTCAACGGCTGCGGGAAATCACCGCGCAGCGCGAGGAACGAAGAAACCAAAGATACCCTGACGAAACACATATGGTTCCTTGATGCGCGCTCCCACTGTACCGCCAGTGGGCCCTCGATAGCAAGACCGCACGCTCCTGGCCTGGGCCCCGATCGCCGGGGAGGGGCGCTTGGGGGTCGATGCTCCTCCCCTGGGCCAGTCCCTCCCCTGCGGTTGCCCCCGACTGGCGGGGTGGGGGGGACAGCCTCCTCTCCAGACTCGGCGGCTCCGAGGGGCGTGGTCTATACCGAGCGTGTGCTCTGCAGCTCGCGCCTGGGGGGGGAGCGGGCGAGGACCTTGACAGAGATCTCTGCCGCCCCGACGAGGGCTCACCAGTCCCCAGCTAGACGAAGAAGAAGAAGAAGAAGAAGAAGAAGAAGAAGAAAAAGAAGAACACGAACAAACGCAACGCCAGAAATATAAACTCGTGGTGTTACGCGCGGATTTCTTGGATCTGCGCTGCACCCTCCTCCCTGGCGCGCGGAGCGCGCCAGGCGGATCCAAGAAATCCGCGCGGAGCGTCGAACATTTCTGTTGACGGCGTTTGTTCTTCTTCGACCAACGGCGCCGATCGCAAACCACACCCGGGCGCAACCACGCCCAACTGTGGGGCCGTCGACGGACCTCCGGCGGCCGGCTGCTGCTTTCTCGATCCCGGCGCGCGGATCGCGGGGCCGTGCGGAGGGCTTCGGGCCCATCAGGAGCTTCCGCAAGACGCCGACGAGGCCTCTGGGCCCCGCCGAGGGCCGAGGAGGCCGAGGAGGCCTCTGGGCCAGGCGGAGCAAGAGGCTCCGCCGGAGGCCCCTGGGCCCCGCGGACGGAAGCAGACCCGCCTCGTCGGAGGTCTGGGCCCCCCGACTGCGGGGTCCGAGGGACAAACATTGTTTTTGCTGGTTGGAGTGAGCGCAAAGCTTTTAAGGGGAGAGAGAGAGAGAGAGAGAGAGAGAGAGAGAGAAAGAGAGAGAGAGAGAGAGAGAGAGAGAGCGGATTTCCATAGGGAACAACATTGGGGCGGCTGGAGCCGCTCTCCCCCAAGGAGGGATGCTGGTGCCGCTACTTCCGGGGCTCCGCTTCGGGCCTCGGGGGCCATCCGGCACGAGCCCAGGAGGAAACCTGGGCCCGCGAGGAGGGGTCGAGTCTTCTGGGGGTGCACATTGTGAAAGAATCACGTCGGGGGTCCGACTACCTCTTCCTCCGCCTCCTCCTCCTCCTCCCACTGTTGCTCCTCCTCCTCCTCCTCCGCCTCCTCCTCCCGCTCTTCGGTAGAGCGAGGCGCATGGCAAGGCCACTCAGCAGCGGAACGAGAACGCAACCAACAAGAAGGCTCTCCTGCACACCAGAAAGTTCGCGGCTGCGGTCGGACACCTGTTTGCTTTGATGCGTGTACACATGTTTTGTCCATCTATGGCGAGCGGCGGACTCCAAACATTCCCTCCTCCTCCTCCTCCTGTGAAGTTTTGCCCACGGCCCTCGAAGATCGCGGGGAGGACGTGGAGGATGAGGATGGACTGAGGATGAAAGGAGGGAAGCGGGCGGACCACGAATTGACTGGGCGTCTGTCTGTTGTTAGTTGGTATTTTTCGGTGGGTGGGAAGGACATCGGATGTATTTGGCCTGTTCTCGGAGTCTAGAGGCTTCCCGGGGCCATGATCTCGGGCGGTATGGCCTTCGACCGCCTCCCTGGTGTTGTTTTTCCTGTACCATCCTGTGGTGTTGGGTCCTCGTTTTGAAGAGACAGCACCGTGCGTCTCTTCTCTTCCTCCTCCTCCTCCTATTCCTCCTCGTCCTCCTCCTCCTCTCCTCCTCCCCTTCCTCCCTCCTCCTCCCTGCGTTTCACCCACCCAACACAGCGCTTCGTGGCCCCATTAAGGGATTCCACCTAACGCCCCAGTAGCGCAGCCTGCATGGCGCCGTCGCCCCATTTTGGCACACCCCTCACACGCTTCGTGGCCCCACAGGGAGGCCCATCTAAGGTCCCAGTGACGCAGCCCGCATGGCGCCGCCGCCCCATTTCGGCACACCCTTGACACGCTTCGTGGCCCCATGGGGAGCTCCATCGAGGGTCCCAGTGGAGCAGCCCGCATGGCGCCGCCACCCCATTTTGGCACACCCCTCACACGCTTCGTTGCCCCATAGGGAGCTCCATCTAGGGTCCCAGTGGCGCAGCCCGCATGGCGCCTCTGCCCCATTTTGGCACACCCCTCATACGCTTCGTGGCCCCACCGGGAACTCCATCCAGAGTCCCAGTGGCGCAGCCCGCATGACGCCGCCGCCCCATTGTGGCACATCCCTCAGACGTTTCGTGGCCCCATAAGGAGCTCCACCTAAGGTCCCATTGGCGGAACTCGCATGGCGGCCCAGTGGCGGAGTTCGCATGGCGGCGACTTTCGGTTTCTGGAAGTTTTTCGTCGTATTCGCGTGTTGAGTCCGCTTTCGGGCCGCGCATCCCAGGCGGGAGCCAGCCTGCTCGCTCGCTCTGCTCCGCGCAGCGGACGGCCCGCGCGCGTCGCCGGGATCCTTTCAGGGCGGCCACCGCGCGTCGCGGGGACTCCGTGCGACGCCGCGCCCGCAGCCTTGGACGTGGGCGTGCACGGGCAAAGAGGGAGAAGAAGAACGGGAACGAAGCGAGCGAAATCCTCGTGAGAGGCGCGCCGACATGGGCGTCGACATTTATGCACGTAGGCTCACGCGCGCGCAGACTCATCCACAATCAGACTCACGCGCTCTCAGTCTCTCGCACACAGACCTATCGTCTTCGCTCGCATTGTGTGCCCCGCCACGCATATCGGCACGCCCCTCACACGGTTCGTGGCCCCATAGGGGGCGCGGGCGAAGATGATATTCATACTTGCGATATTCTCACCTGCATTTGGTTGGGTCTTTTGCCAGGCTACTTGAACCCATGTCCTTCGGCGGTCCATGTGCCCGATGCTGGTTTTAGTTCACCCATCCCGCGAATAGTTTTTCACATATCGAATTCTAAGCTGTGATTTGTCAAAAGTGTTCGTCCTCAATCGGAACGTCTTCGGTCCAGAAGTGCCCCCGCTGCAACGCTGATCACTCTTCAAGATCGGCACCGTGCATTTCTGAATGGCGCTCTCGCCCCATCGTGGGCCACACTTCTATATCCGATTCCTTCCTCGTCGCTGCCGTCTCCCTCCTTTCCCCTCCTCCGCTTCCCCTGATGCTGCTGCTGATCCTCCTCGCACGAACAAGAAGCCCCCTCGCCGATTGTACGGCAATCGATGGCTCAGATCCTGTACATGTTATTTGGAGATCAAGGTTTTCTAGAACACCCCAGTTGGCGGAACCGCTGGCTCTCCCTGTGGGGGCCATCAAGCTGCGCGGATGAGGTTTCAGCATGGTTAACTTTGCAGCAACAAGTCCCCTGCCAGGCCGACCAGGCCGACACCCGGAAGGCCGCCGACGCGCCACTGAAGCGAATTTGTGACTGTCGAGTCGGACACCCGCATAAAAAATGCAGAGCGTATGCAGCCTCATGCAGTGTTGCCCGACTCCTGTCACCACTCCACGAGTGCAACGTACTCGCATGATAAAAACTCCAACTTCTTCAATACTAAATCGAGCGCCGTGGACCAATCCTGCGTGCGCCGCGCTCCACGCACACAAACGTCATACCCACTTGCCCGGAAATCGCCACGAACGCCAGTGGAAGACATGACGGCGTTGCCGTCATGCCGATAAAGAACAATGCCACGTGGTGTGTAAATGCATAACATGAGCTCATCAAAAGAGGTACGCTTGATGGCGCGAAACCTAACCATCCAAGTATCGCAACGTGAGTTCCAAACAAGCTGAGAACTCTTGCATTCAATTCGTCGGCCGTCCCGGCTCCAATCATATTCTGCCTGTTGAATATTCCGGCGAGCCCCGTTACAACGAACGCCCACGACAGGATCCATCACAGACGACCCCATATTCAAAACAGTGTCGACAACTCGAGCAATTGATTGTATCCTTGTACCTCGAACTCCAACATCTAGACTTGCAAGAGGCACGTCGTGATACGCTTCGCCCATTCTTACGGCATAGGGAGTTTGCTTAAAAATAGCAAGGGCTTTGACCACGCTAGGGTGCTGGAGTGATAACTGTGTCAATCGTCTGCATTGGTTGCTTGGAGCATCCAGTTTCCCAAGAACAGATTCTAGCGCAACGTGCCAGTCGCCCACTCCCCCAGGACCGTAAAAGCAAATGTGACATCCCTCTGTCTCGGTGCGTGCGCCAGATGAGGCAATTCCCAAGCGAAGGTCGTGCTGGTACACGATCAGCTCCAAAGGCGTGTACAGCACCAGGAGTAGAATGTCAAAGGAACGAAACTTGACGGAATGAAATCGAAAACTCCATCTTCTTGAACCTCCGCTCCAAATGAACATTGCACTCTTACATTCAACCCTTCGCCCATTACAGAGCCAATCATACTCAGCTGTGCTCGCCGCTCGTCGCCTCCCGTCGCAACGCATGCCAGGCTCCGCATCCGTTACATGTGCATCCCTCTCCCCAATTAACTCAGACGTGCGCACAATGACGGAGAACAGTTCGCCACGCAGCTTCGAACTCATGTTTGCGAAAGGTGCCCCCTCGTAAGCAGCGGCGCGCCCCACACTACCATTCACAATGCCATGAAAACGCGATGCAGGCAGAACCAACGATCGCATGCTGAAAGACGGTGTACGCCTGCAACCCAAGACGATATGCCTCCGCAACGGCATATCAACTGAAACCGACTCTCGGAATGACTTGATTCAAAACTGTGGCTTGAGAAGATGGCGTCGCCCTGAATGGTTTCAGCAAAATATGCTTGAGAGCTGCGGCGATTTGAGCCAAGGACAATCGAACCAATAACAGACCCTGAACCAAAATGGCAACGGAATGCCGGTGAGATCCCAGCGGGACGGCGTTATTCTCACCAGTGCACTGAGCCATCTCGCATAACTGCATTCTCCTTTGAAACTGAACGGCTTGGTACCCGTGATTTGCTAGAGCTAGCCATCAGTTCTCAGAGCATGGCAATCGGAGGGGAGGCCGGCGGCAGAAGGCGACATCCTTAGGACATAAGATAATTGAGCGCAATGAGACGGCATGAGCGGGACTGGTAGTAGGATGTCAGATTTGGTGCGAGCACGCCTAGCTTGCCTCTCTACTCTCTCATCTCCTTCTCATCCTTTCCCTCTAGTCACGCCCCCTCCATTGCACTCCTCTGCTTTCCATCCTCTCATCTCGTCTCTCCGTTACTTCTATCGACTCCCATCCTCGCCCCTCCTCGGCCCTCCTCTCCCCTCCTCTTTTTCCCCTCTTCCTCCTCCTCCTCCTCCTCCTGTCCCTCCTCCTCCTCCTCCTCCTCCTCGTTCTCCTCCTTCTCCCCCTCCTCCTGTCCTTTTCTCTCCTGTCCTCGTTTTCCTCCACGTGCTCCTCCTCCTCCTCCTCCTCCTCCTCCTCCTCCTCCTCCTCCCCGTCCTCCTCCTCCTCCTTCTCCTCCTCCTCCTCCTCCTCCTCCTGCTCCTCCTTGTCCTCCTACTCCACCTGCTTTTCTCCTCTTCCTTCCTCTTTTCCCCTCCACTCCCCCTCCTCCTGCCCCTCTCATCTTCCCCCTCTTCCTCCTCTTCATCCTCCTCGTCCACCTCATTCTCTCCCCTCCTCAACGTCCTCCTCCTTCTCCGCCTCCA